CTAGACAATCTCCAGAGGTCCCTCCCAACCTCACCTGATTCTGGTTTCTGTCACCGACTCGCCCTGCTCACCTTGTCTGGGTGCAATAGGAGTGGGCTGCTACCGGGGAGGTCGCTGCCCCTTGGCACCCGGCTCCCCTTCCCTTGCAGAGCAACTCGTTCTTCCTGCTCCCGGACAACTTGATTCAAACTTGGAAGGAAATGGAACAAAATAACGTTCAGAAAGTTTTGATTTCCTGACCTGTTGTTTTTTCATGAGATTCTGCTCCCCTTCCCCCTTCCCTTGCAGAGCAACTTGTTCTTCCTGCTCCCGGACAACTTGATTCAAACTCGGAAGGAAATGGAACAAAATAATGTTCAGAAAGTTTTGATTTCCTGACCTGTGTTTTTTTCATGAGATTCTGCCCAGAACTAGAGGTTTTTTTATAACTGTTTTAACTGACGAGTTGGATGTGGAAGGTGAGATCAAGTCTTCTAGGAGCAGCTGGGGGTGGGGGTTAGAGTAAGCAACTTGTTGGTCAGTTGGGTCTGGAAGGTAAATTGACGAAGCTGATGAACAAGAGTCATGCTGCTTTTCTTACAAGCTTACAGTGATGTAACTTCACCTTTGGGGAATGTGTCTTTTGGTTTTATCCTTGTGAGTGAGACTTTCAGTGGACTCTGAAAGTCTAGAAGAAAATAATAAGACTAACACCCTTTTAACAGAACAGTCAGGTGTATAGAAAAGTGAGCAAAGTGCATAGAGATGTGTCAGAGGAGAGAAAGGTTGGGAAAAGAGAGCAGTAAAAGCAGGTGACAGCAGAGGAAAAGAAGACCAACAGCCTATGACAGTCACCTGAAAAGATAAATGAAAAGTGGGGCTTTTTTCTTACTACATTACGGGTGCATGTTTAGTCTTAACTCCTACTTTCACTCCCTTGTTCATTCAAATGTAAAAAAAACCCACAAGGAGCTAGAAATAGAATTAACTCAAACCCTCTTTTTTGCAGCTAGCTGAGAGTCTATATGTGAACTTGTAAAGGTGGCTTCAAGAGAAACTAGTCTTCGTTGTAATTTAGAGCAGCACTACATCCTTAATATACTATTGGATGCTCACAGTGGCCTTCCCGAGATGCCATTCCACCAATGCAGCATTACCAAAACACAAGTTTTGATTATCTCATGGTCCTTAACCTATCTGCTCTGCCAGGTTCGGTAGTGACACAATAGGAACTAATTGTTTCAAGCACTTTATGCCTCATGGGATTACCCTATGCTAAATTAATCTTCAACCACTTACTACGGCAGATAAAAAATGGGAACTTTGATCCTTATCTGTTTTATTATACTCCTTTCCCTTCTCTACATCAAATAATTATGTTGTCTCTGAAAGAATGGTTAGTTCCACTATATTCTGAGGTGTGTGATCTGAACATGGGGATGACGGGTACTGCGGAAACTTGGTTGTGTGGAATTTAGGGTTTGGACACGGATACTAAAATAGCAACCTCCATTTCATTCAGGTTTATTGAAGCTGAATTTCTCATATAGAGAGACAGCGATGTAGTGTGATAGCCATGAGTATTTATACAGCGAATGACATGTCTTGCTTTTCTGCCAGGATATTCTAGTATTTGAACCCCTTTGCAATTAATTGCACAGCCCAAATTCTCAATAGCTCACTGTCAAAGCAGGGGGAGTATTTAAGTAGGAAAAGCAAGGGTACGTTCTTCTCTTTGGTGTGCACGCTTATGTACCTTCCAGAGAAGTGCAGTACTTCAGAGCTTTGGAACTCAAAGAGCAAGAAAACAATTCCAAGATGTGGTCCGGTGCGATGCAAACTATCTCTAAAAAAGTAGTTTTCAAAATATGCTGGAAGTATTAGTTATTGCCTGTTATTTCTGCTGGACGAAGGACATGAATCTGAATATAAAGTTTGAAAACACTTCTGGGACATTTACTGAATCCCCTTGAAAACCAGATAAGAACAACCAAATTTCACTGTATCTGCAAAATCAGTTATTATTGAAGAGAATGTTCCCAAGATGAACGGAGCACATTTAAATACACTGTCTGCCCACATACTGTGGACAGGACATGGTATGAATGGAACGAAGCTGCATCGGGGGAAGTTCAGACCGGACATGAGGACGAGGTTCTTCACCGAGAGGGTGGTCAGTCGCTGGAACCGGCTCTCCAGGGAAGAGGCTACGGCACCAAGCCTGTCAGAGTTCAAGGAGCGTCTGGACGATGCTCTTAGTCATATGGTTTAGTTTTAGGTAGCCCTATGAGGAGCCAGGAGTTGGACTCGATGATCCTTATGGGTCCCTTCCAACTCGAGATATTCTATGTTTCTAGGACTATCGTCTCCTGCTTTTAACCTCAAATCCATGTTCCCTTGTGCAACACAATGCAAACCAGGTGGTTGTTATCCTCCATCAAGAGATCATTCTGCTTACATGTGCCTATCAGTGTATCACTTGCCAAGGGAAAGAATGGGGCAGAGCACATACAAGTTTTTATTTAATATTTATAACCTTACCTACTATGTGCAAAATGTTTAATTAAAAAACAGTGCTCCATATATTTTCTGTCCACAAACACGCATCCCCGTGCTTGTGGGGAGAAAGGGAGAAGAGGTTTAGGAGCTATCCTCTTGCCACAGGACCCACTGCCTTTTTAGCGTGTACAGTGCGACATGTGTGTACGGTGATGGTGCCCTCTGCCCACAAAACATACCTGGTCATTAATGACAGCCACGATAGCTGATCTTAATATGCCTAGAGGCTGCAGTTCCGTCCCGCAGCTGGGGGAGCAATTTCCTGTCATTCTACTTGTTGAAGATGGAAATACGTTTGGTTTGTAGTAAGCTTTATCTCAAGGTATGTATAATGGATTTATTTTCAATACAAATATTTGGTTTTGTCATGACAAACTACAGTGTGAAGTGGAGGAAAGAATGAGATGATGATGTAGGTTATTGTTACAGCGTGGATTATTGTTATCTTTCCTTCTGCTCCCTCGTGTCTTACCAGCTAGACTCTGCTCCTACATCACAAATTGTCATCCTGTGTTTGGTAAACACCTTTAGGCAATGCTGTGTTTTACGGTGTTACCTATAGGATAACATGAGGGGGCGGCTTGCAGTGCTGCCTGTTGTCCTCTCTGGGTTCTCCATGTTTTTCTGCAACTGTTTCAGGGGAATTTTTCGCCTTTTGACCACCTAACTTCTTGTCTCAAATAATTGTACAACCATGATCTGCCCAACAACAAACTATGTAACGCAGATGCATTAGAAAAGCCTCCAACTTATTTGTTCCCCGTTTGGACCTACGTAAACCCAAACAAGAGTATCCTTTTGTATTGCATTTCAACCTTAAGGGTAGGTACGAGCGTTGCTATCATGCTTTCACCTCTAAGCAGCTGGGGAGCAGCCTGCTCCGGCAGGGCAGCGCCAGCAAAGGGCGGATTAAAGATGCACTGCACGGGGTGTCCAGAGTCACCCGTCGAGAGAAATGGCGCTGGGGGGGGGGAACCAACAAACAAAACCAGAAGATAAAACCTACAAGCAGGTCCTCTCACCTGAATGCGGAAGAGATGAACTGGGACCGTTTTGAACTGTCCTGGAGATGGCAGCATTGAGCAATTTATTTTTCAGACTTGGCTTGCAACACTTGTTTCCTACTCGAGAGGCAAAAGTTACGCGTACGGTACACCTCAGCCCTGTAAACAGCAGATCGCCTTGAACGTGCAGCTTAAGTTAGCACAGAACCATTCGGGGAAACGCACTTAACTGCTTGGCACGACGCGGGACCTTCCTCGACCACCCCTGCCGCACGCCACGGAGGCAGTGCCAAACCCACCCCCCCC